GAAGAGCTACAGTACCCGTTGTGTGCCTCGGCATGGTCCTAACCTTTCCTAGCTCCGTCGAACAAGAAGACCTTTTTGGGGAGTAAGGACCCTAGCTATCCCAAAGTTGCACAGGCCCGCGGTCCGCTCCTCCACGCGTGCACGAGCGCGAGGCTCATCATATCCTCGCCCCTTTCGAGCAAACGCGATTGGGGGCACGTCAAGCGCGCCCGCGCCCCCTTGTTGGCCCCTGGACAATATTAAAACGGGGGTTTGTTGCCCTGCCCAGATCGCTGCGTGTTGAAGCAACCCCTACGGAGAAACCCACATCCTAGGATCCTTGTTTTGCATTCGAAGGGCTTAACCTTCCTAGGAGCCCTTCTTATCATTTTCAGAAACTCTACCATGAGGGTTGTGCTTTTTAGGGGCCTAGATAGTTTGACACGTCCCACCCAACGCGCGCGCGCGCGTGGAGCTTTCGCAAGCGAGTGTGTTTCCACAGGTCCCAAATTATTTTGGTTGACACTTACCAAAGAACTCTGGGGTCCTTTTTGGGAAACTGATTAACATTGCAAACCCAGATCCGGCCCCCATGTCATCGAAGGTTCCCGGTCATCGCTCGATGTTCATGGGTGCAAAACATATTGGAATTTGGAGAGGCCTAGTTTCGATATGTCGGTGGTCCGTTTTTGTGGAGGTATGCAGTGATGCTGATGGGCCCGGGAAAACAGCAAAAAAACGTGGGTTTTGACAGGTCAAGAGCTGGTCGCTTTGCTTTGTTTGAGTTTGGAGCCTCAGGGCAGTGATCCGCATCCGAAAGGTGGAGAAAACACTCGCTCGAAAGTCTGGGAAGCCATGGTGGCCGGTCTTGTTTGGGACTCACATCAAGCAATATTGATCGATGGAGGAACAACGCGTTCAAAACTTTGAGGAACCCTTCTTTCCATCTTGGCTGGGGTTAAGTGGTGCCTCAGTCTTGTTTGATCATTGTTGAGGGGATGGAGAAACGAGACAATTCGACTCCGGCCCGGTTTGTTGCTTGGTCATCATGATGGGATGGAACAAAAACAAGTCTGTCCGAAGCTTTTGGGAACCCCTCTTTCCATTTGTACCCGGTCAAGATGTGGTCCCTTAGCTTTTAAATTTTTGGGGGCGCTGATCAATCTTCAAATCTTTCTGACGGGGTGGAAAAGCGGAAGCCCTTCATCTTGGCCCAGTTTGGTCGTTGTTGGTGGGCCGAAAAAACGAGCTCGAAACTTTAAGGAACCCTTCTTTCCATCCTTGCCGGGTCAAGAGGTGGTCCTTAGTCTTTCTGGGGAGGGGCGTTGATCGGTTGATCAGTCTCTTGGGATGGAAAAATAAGGTTTGTTTGGGAGTCGTTTGCGGGTCTCTTGACCTGATGGGCTGTGATTTCTGCAACAAACAAGATCCAGCATGCCGAGCTGACCTCATCATATACCACAGTCACACTGTGCACCCGTACGTGCCCTTTTGCCGCACCCTCGATTGATCGAATATACTTGGCGAAGCTGGTGCACTAGACAAATCATGCAACGCCACGTTTCCACAAACTTACCTGGCGCGCACGCACCCTTGCTGCAACCCGAGCGAACTGAGACGCACACGCCAAATGAACTTTCACGATTGCGTTGTGTAATGCCCTGACGCCGCAGATCAAGCTCTGTCGCGCGTTGTCACGCTCCGTCGCGCGCCGTCCGCTCTGACAGGTGTGTCGCACTTCCGCGCTGCTGCACGCAAGCTGTGCACACCGTCGTCGCTCGTTCAGCAGCGCTGTATGCGGCCCGCGCCGCGCAGCGCAAGAGCGAGCTGCGCGTTTCTAAGCCTTTGAGGAACCCTTCTTTCCATCTTGGCCACGTCGATCAAGAGGTGGTCCCTTATTTCATGTTGGTCACCCTTGGGGCAACAATGGCAAATCATGGGGCCGCCTCATGAATGTTTTGATCATTTTGGATCTCTGCCAATTTTTTTTGCATCCAGCGCTGCAGGCCCGCTGGTGGACTTGCATTTCTTCCACATCAGCCTGATTAAACATTGCACCTTGCACATCCTGAATCTTCGGATGTTGGGTGTTTGCAACGGATCAACCTTGTGCCTTGCCGGTAGTGTGTGGCCTTGCCACTCTTGGTGCACCAGTCTTGGTACACATTAGACCCGTTCATGGGATCGGTGTGCGTGTGACCATTTTTTGCATGTGGGCATCCAAGGGCAATGCTCCTGCACATGCACGTGTTCGGACCCATCGACAGCGCGGGCGCGGGTGGATACAAGGATGCCTTGAACGCAGCGTTCGACGACTTTACCCACTGGCGAAGGGAGCACAAAATCACATGTTCACACAAGAGGTTTTCTTTCAATGGCTTGTTCAACGAGGAATACGGAGCCTTCCTCAATGCGAAAGGCTACAATGCTCGTGTTCTCAGCGAATGGCTGCTAGATTGCGTGCGTCAAACCAACTTTGGCCAGCAGGCTGCGCCGCCCCGGACACTTGGGGTTCACCCTGGCCCAATTTTGCCCGATGAGCGCATGGAGCTCTGCGAAGTTGCTTTGTGTCGTGGCTAAACAACCAACCCAGAATCGGACGTTTTCCATTGACCCCGGGGTGCCAAAAACACCTGCCCTTTGGCCCAGGACGGGCATTTGCAGATATTTCGGACTGACCGAGCGCGCCTCCAGAGCTCTGCCGCTTGGCAGTGCCCATTGCTCTCTGTGCGCATGCGGTTTGGCCAATCGAGTCGGCATGAAGGTTAATTAATTAAGGTGTTTCAGGATTCGTTGCAACTCAGGAGTGCTGAACAAGCGCAACAAATTGAGAAGGCTGGCAGGACATTCTTGGAGGCCTCGCGGCAATTGAACATAGAGAGTGTGAGGCCGGGCCGAACCCACTGGCTGACCCGCAAAAAACAAACACTTACAAGGAGGGCCTGTTTCATCTCGAATGGTTCGTGGTATATCTGACCCTCATAGGCGGAAAGAGCTTGCCTGGGTGATTACGCCCAAATGGCACGTTCCTTGGTTGACATAAATTGCATATTGGATTTGGTTTCTGGGGGCTTGCGAATTCTTGTGATCCTAGGCTTTCTCTCATGTACTGCAAGACGTGGTACTTCAAACCCGCAGCGTGTCTGCAAATTTAAACTGAGCACGTAGGGAACGTGTGGCATGTGGCTTGCTCATTGAATTTGTTGAACCAGGGGCCCTTGCATATAATTTCCCCAGGTGAAAATCCTCGATACATCCATACCTTCTGCGATGAAGATCAAATGGGAGCTTTGAAAGGCGGCGGGTACTTGGCGAGGGTTTGACACTAGAAATGGGCCTTTCGCTACAGCTCGCGCATGCAGGTTGGACGAAACGGGCCGGGAGATCACGGATACTTCAGGGCAGAGAGAAGGGGATCATGCTACTTGCAAGGGCTCGCCTGAAGTCGCTTCGATGGCGCTTGAAAGAGTTGATGCGGCAGAACAAGACCCGGTGGAAAAAATAGACCGTGGGGGGGCTCTGCCAGGGTTGAACGGTGATTTAGGCACATGTTCTAGATTCATGTTTTTGCAACCAGGGGTAAACATTGCATTTCCGGAAATGCGCTGTTTTACTAGGGTAAACACAAACATGCGGAGTTAAACTTCGACGCGGGAAGGCTAGGGTATATATATGTGTGTGTGCGCGATTGTGTCATTGTGTGTTCCGTCCAGATTGACAAGTCCCATGGCAAAGGACGACACATACGCAGAATTGCTAAGACCGAGAAAAACTTGAACAAACACAAAGCACAGAAACATACAATTGTGTTGATTGCTTTATTCTTTCTTGTTGAGGGGGGGCGGGGGCAGCATATGTGTGTATAAGTATATATATATATGTATATATACATATATGTGTATGTATATATGTATATATGCATATATATATGTATGTATATATGTATATATGTATTTATGTATTTATATATATATATATATGTATGTATGTATGCCCCCCCCCTTCTCCACCCCCCCTCGGCCAGACCCATGGCCACAGGTCATACAGGCAGCCCCCCCCGCCCAGTGCATCTACAAGATGCCCAAAATATCATGCATGTCTTATTCGCAACATGTGGAATATATCAGGTGCCAGAATCCAATATGCCAGGTTGCCAGTAAACATTTACACTGCATTCTATGTGCACGAATATGTGCACACATGAAACCCTTGTCTCATTCTGCGAGCGGACCTCGCATGAGGCTTTGACTGCCGCCAAGCAAATGCCAAGCAAAGGCGGGCTTTGGCCACTAAATTACGTCTCCAACACACTGCCGGACCCATGATACACAGCGCTTGTGATATGCAGAATTTTTGGGAGCTGCAACATGGCCAGCACAACATGGCCAGCACCACCACCGCCACCACCACCACCACCACAACCACCACAACCACCACCACCACCACAACCACAACCACAATCAGCACCACCACCACCACCACCACCACCACTACCACCACTGCCGTCATCGTCCCCGTCATCGTCATCGTCACCGTCATCATTATGCTCATTGTTGTCAGCATCATCGTCATCGTCATCGTGGTCGTTGACATCATCGTCATCATCATCACCGTCATCATCATCATCAGCATCATCATCATCATCATCATCATCATCATCATCATCGTCGACATCTGTGACATTTAGGCCATGAGGTTGCACTAAGCATTCCATACCGTTGCTTCTTGAAAGCTTGTTTGAAGGGAACCCGACTGACCGGAATCAGCGTCAATGGGTACTTGAAGAAAACTATGGAGTCCATCTAATTACCCAGTTTTGTCCTCCCATCTAATTTTCACCACCCAAGCGTCCGCGGCCAGGCCTGGGGGTCGATGGGTGCACCAGTCGGCTCCCAGGACTCCTTTCCTGTCTTGTAGGCATTTTGAACCGTTGGGTCAAACCTTGAGCTTGTAAAGCTTGTACCGGCGCTTCAAAGGGAACCAAGACATCAAAACAAAAGCAAATTGTCGGGCATTGCAATTCAAATTGCCAAGAAGCCCTTGCCACGCATCTTCCCTGGCTCGCACAGCCACGGGAGGATGCCTTGGTAAAATAATTCTGCACGCAGTTGGCTGTCGCAGTGCAAATGCTTGGGTTCTTCAAAATGGGCAGGGGCATCCCGAATCGCAACCCGCCGTGCACCGCAAGGGAAGCCACAACTGTCGGACCGAGGATTTGAACAGCCCAGGCTGACCTCTCAGCGAATGGCGGTGGTGCAACCAAGTCGCACGGCTTCATGTCCATGTCCGGGTGGTGCCTGACACATAACATGTAAACATGCAAACAGAGCAAAGAGAATCCTCAACCCTTCCGCATCAATTCTCACAGTTTGAATCTCCCGAGCTATGGCTTCCACAGCCCCGATTCTTTTTGAGGCCCCACCTCTTCAGCAGCTTCTCAGAGAGCTGGAAGGGGATGTGGTTGGTGCATTCTGCCTGCGTGCCCGTCTGGGGATTGATCATTCTGGCCAGCCTTTGCCAAACTACCATCACACCGAACCTTGAAAAGGCTTAGTGGCAACGTCCGCAAGTCAACGCCCGTACTCCCTAACTCGATCATTATTTTTCTGCCAGCGGCTGACTGCATGCCCACCAACACAACACAGGCTGCCACGCAACCCCTCAAGCACAGCATTCAGCAAATCAGGATAAAATTAGACATCTTGACTCAGTAAGCTCAAGCGCATGCGAAGGCACCGAGCCCCAAAGTTCAAGATATCGGCTGTGGTTGTAGCAGACTTGGCACACGGAGTGCGAGTATGGGCCAGCCGTCATCTCAAACCTTGGCAAAAAAGCAAGCGCCATGGGTAGAGCCCGCAATTCGGCGATGGCCAAGACTTGACCCAGGAATATCTGCCCGCAGTATTTATTTCTGAGAAGGTTGTTCCGCCTAAAGCGTGATGCGGATCACCTCTCAAGATATACCGAGTGAAGATAGTAAATCCTAGCGTCCAGGGGCCTAATCCTGGGCGTCCACCCAACATCTGATCATGCTTGTGCAATGTGAGCGGCCCGCCCTTCTTGAAGAGCTTCTCATCCTGGCCCACTTGGCCGTGAGGACAAAAATTGAATCCTTCCTTTTTTGCCGCGCAGAAAGCCATTCCTCTGCTAGCCCAAATGTGGTTGTGTCAGAATAGGGGAACCCAAAAAATGGTTTGTGTCCCTCTGGTTCCTTTCAAACCGACCCAGAAAGGAACTGCGCATGCTCAAAGTTGCGCCTGCTTTGCCAGCTTCAGGTTGTACGTGGGCTTCCCCCCAGGATAGCAGGAGCAATAGTGCTTGAAGGCCGCGTCGGCAGCTCCAGTCAGAGGCTCATCCACCTTCTTGTCCATCCTGGGATTTCAAAGGCCCCAGGCTTTCCAAGACTGAAAGGGCAGTCTTTCCTTGGGCCAGGGGCGTAGGAGGGCACTTGTGTGGATTTCGAGGGAAAGGAAGAGAAAACTTTTTCAAGAGGAAATCGCCATTTCGTGGTCACCTTCGGATTCATCCGGGCCTCTCAGGGATCTCTTTCGGGGCGACATCAACTGAGATGTTTAGGCGCTCGCTGTTCCACGTTCTAGGGCGAGAAAGGGGCGCCATGTTAGGCAATTTGCATCCAAAGCTCTGAGCCGCATCCTCCCACGGCTCGATGCTCCAGCCCCGAGCAGCAAATGCATACCTAGGCACCGAGATTCTGTGTTTTTTTTTTTCAGTCTCCGACAACCCACTGGCTTTGGGAGAAATATCCTACCTGACAGCTGAACACTGGCGCAGCAGCCCCTCCAGCTGAAAGGATACGCCCAGAACCAAACATGCGGTCCAAATCCCAAGTGGCCATGCAAACAAGCCGCTGCATCGCAAAATCTGATGAGAAGATCTCTTTGCTCATCTTCTCGCCTTTGCCCAACACATGGCAACCCTGGTGCAAACCCGAACGGTGCCTAGCGATGGCACGACAAACCCGCACCAGAAAGTCGTATGCCATGCTGTATGTCAAGACGCCCAGGTAGTTCCAGTCCAATTTCATCATGGTTTCATCCGACAGCGCGTCCTTGGTGGTCATGTATGGTTGTATGTTCATAGCGCATGCTCATGCGCGGGGGTCCACCTTCAACAAAACGCCTCATGACCCACGCAGAAAACTGAACCTTGGGGGCGCTCCACTTGAAAACGCGCTTTGCTGAGCCAAGTGTCCAGGATCGCCTCTCGTCTGAAGTATGCGCCGCCACAAAGGCCGGAAGACATGCTGCGCCTTGCACATGCGTCAACACAAGATCTCGTGGCGGTATGTGGCTTTTGCGGTCTCCCCCCCCCAAAGAGGCTCCCCAGAACAAAATGCAACCCCAAAGTTTCCAGCGTGTCCTCGTTTCCCGGAGTCCAACCAATTGCGGCTGCATACCATTCAAGTTTAGGGGAATACATGCTCGCCCCTGAGATACTTGCCCCAAATATATGCCTTGCACCCGCACGAGCCTGATACGGGATCCCCAATTCATCGGGGCCACATCCCCACGTAAAAGTTACCCTTGAAAAAATTGTACGGCAAATGATCTCTTCCCGAGCGAGTCGGTGAGAAAGTCGAGGGGTTTGTTGCTTCCCACTAAACTGATCTTTTTTCCAAAAAGTGTTCAAACCTATTTGTTCGAGTTGGTTGGACAACCACTGGCAAACATTCGCTGGGCCTCTCGTTTCGTGCTTTGCTATGGCCAGGTCTTCAGGCTTCCAAGCGGCTTGGTCCACTTGAAGCCAGGCACCCGCTCTTGGGCCAGCCGCTCCTGAGTGCCAGTGAATCGAAAATGTCAAACCCCAATCTTAGTTGGGCATACCTCTCTCTTTCTCTTTCTCTTTATACTTCTCCTTCTCTTTCTCTGTATATTTCTCGTTCTCTCCTCTCTCTCTCTCTCTCTGTTTCTCTTCGCCGCAAATCCGAAATTGAGGAGCACTCAGTTGGCCAAGGAAACTTTGGGAACACTTTGGTGGACATCGCGCATTCCGCTTGTAAAACTGGGCGAGAGAGCACACGGTCAAATCCACGGCCAGATCCTGCGCTTTGAGCCCCAAACCTTCGTTTCGCCAAGGTCACTTCGGCCGGAGAGCTTCCTGATCTATTTGCCGACGCAGTTTGGTGCGGCGGTGCGCAGCCGAGCTTCTATGTACTTCACGGCTCCAAAGCTTCGCCCAGTCCTCGGATCAAGCAGCCCCCCGCCTCAAAACTGAAGACGTCCCACATCGTCCCACCTTGTTGTCGCGCAGACTGAGTCTGAGCGCTGAACCCTTTAGGTCAAAAGAGGAGTTAAACACATTTAACCAACACAACTGAAGAATAAAACAAGGCAGAAATGCAAGTTGCAAATTCTATTGCCTTGCCGGCACTCTTGTCAGTTCAAACCAAAGCAAACAAGAACTTTAGCTGCAGCACCTGCATATTGGACAGGCCCGCTGTACTTCAGATTCGGAACGACTTCACGCATCTGATGCAACCGCTGCGTGGCCCCTATCACAGACTACAACGCCAGCGGCCCAAAAAGCAGCACAAACGCATGCAGCCATAGGCACACTAGCAGCCCACCCACATCTGCTGGCGGCGGCCGCTTGACATAGCTGTGCCTGACACTCTTGAATCCCTGAAAAATGGCTCTTGATGTGCATCAGGATTGCGTTGACCGGAAAGCCCTTGGAAAGCCAAGGGTGTAAGCATACCAGTAGAGCCAGCAGAGCTGGCTGTCGGAAGTTCTAAATTATAAGAACCCCTGTTCTCTTGTTCTTTTTCTGTGTTCCTCTTGTGGTTCTCTGTCTTTCTTTGTTTTCTCTTGCTCCTTGTCTTTCTGGAATCTTTGCTTCCATTTATCTTCCTCTTTTTCCTCTTTCTCCTTCGTTTTCTCTTCCTCTTGTTTTCTTTTTTCTCTCTCTCTCTCTCTCTCCCTCTCTGCGCTTCTCTGTCTGGTTCTCTTCTTTCTCTTTCTCCTTCTCTCTCTCTCGCGCTCTCTCTCTCTCTCTCTCTCTCTCTCTCTCTCTTCTCTACCTCTCTATTTTTCGGTCTATCTACCTACCTGCCAAGCTATCTATCTCGACTATCTAGAACTCCCGTTCTATCTGTCTCGCTCTCATCTTCTATCCATCTATCTGTCTATCTGTCTGGCTACGTAAGCTAAGCTCATCTGGCCTACTCTGATCTATTTAGCTATCCAGCTATCTATCTACCCCTGTATATCTCTATCTTCGACTGAAAGCGCTGCGCCTGCCAGACAACCCACACTTGACCTTGCAAAAAGCGCTGCGCCTGCCACGAAAGCTGCGCCTGACCTTGCGAAGCGCCGTTTGCGCCTCCCCAGAACACTCGAAACACACACAGGGCACTCACTTTGAGCACTATCTATCCCTAGGTGCTGCAGCTGTCACGCAACCTGAATACTTGTCACCTCTTCTCTTTGCCTCTCTTTTCTCCTCTTCTTTTCTTATCTTTGCTTTAAAAGACAGCTAGCCTTCACCTAGCGCCGGTACTATGGAAGTTTCTTCTAAACGTCCTGTGATGATATCATATGATATCGACTGGCTTGCGGCCAGCTAGCACGGTATTGTCAGGCTCCAGCATGATGACAAAGTCTACGTCCATGCCTTGGTTGCTTCATCCCTTGCCTGGGCAAGGAGCTCTTTCACCCACTGGCACGGGGGAGTTAGCACATGTTGGAATGTCTGCGTGATGCCCAACTCAATAGCAAATCCTGGGAATAGGCTGATGCAATTGCCGCACCTGAGAAGGCGGTGAATCCTTGCCGTGCAACGACTAAGCGCCTCTCTCAACGCAGCAGCTGTGTTTATGTGATAAACGTCCCGAATAGCTGGTCCGACACATGCAACAGTGCTGAGCAATGCCCTTTCGCACAATCACGGTTGCATGGAATCGCCCGTTCCGCCTGTTCCGCCATTTTGTGCAAAAGTTCAGGGCTGCAGTGGACAAAGGGGCTCGCTGCTGCATCGTAGAGCCGCCGGAAGAAGGGCCAGGGGTGCCAGCGATCATTCCTAGGCGCTGCAACGTTAGAGGCTCTTGCCTTGGAAGTGGACACTTCAAACATTCATGTTGCCTGATCACCATATTAGGCCGACACATGCAACTCGAGAATGACCAGCCCTCTTCGCACACACGTTCGAGGGCAGAAAATCAATTGAATCCCTTGGCCACCAGCCTTGGAGGATCCAGCGCGCACATTGGGCGCATGCAATCAACTGAAAACGCCGACACCTGCGCTTCTGGCGCCTTCACCGAACCGACTCCACGTTTAAACCGTGAACCTTCAGCCCTCAGCACACACACACGTCTGCATAAGAACATACACATTCACACACACACATGTATCATACTCGATGCGAGCCGGAACAAACCTTTGCCTCGCCAAGGCTCGCCGGAGGGCACAGCCTGGAGGTGCAGCCCTCCTGCGCCCAGGAGGCCAATCTGTTGACTTGATACCAAGACATCAGACATGTGCGGCATCAGACATGTGCGGGAACTGGTCGGAACTGGTGCAAAGACATGAACGAGCCACTTTTTGCCGGCCTTCTTGCATAAACCACTGAAGTCCAAGCCCCCGTCGCTCATGACATAAATCCTGATGCAAGCTAAAAAAGACTTGCATGAATTGCTGAAGAAACGGAAACACATCCCCCATCTCAAACCTTTTGAATGGCGTATGGCATCCATAAACATGAGCCCAGCAACGGTGATCGCGGGAAGTGTACCTTCACCTGCCGGACCTCACGCGGAAAACCAAATGCAGCACTCTTCAAGTACATGGGAGAGCAGTGCATCAGTGCAAGCCAGCTGTCCATATATCTATAAATATATATATACTGCCGCACCGCACCTGATAGATGACAGCAGCTGGGTCAGCATAAACGTGAAGGTAGAATCCATACCTCAAGCTCTTGTGAAAATTTCAGGCGTATGCGCCAATCACAGTAAGATGACAACAGGCAGCCTTCCTGATGGAGAAACTTTGAAAGCATAGGGGGCGGCCATGAGTTGAGCGGTGCCTTTGGACATTTGTGCGAGATACATCTGAGGTGCGACGGCCTAGAGAGATAAAAGTGAAACTGTTGAAGCAAGAACGCACGGTTGCAAGCAATGATGTCTGAAAATCCCGGCCGCATGTCGACTCTTCCAGTCACTCCGAACTCCCACGCGCGCGATTATTTCACCTGATTTGCAGGATTGGCGAGTCGGGATCCGGGCTGCCAGATTTGTGGCCAAGCCATTCACTCGGAAAACATGTGGCGCTTGCCCGGGAACTTTGTGCCTCAGATAGTGGCGCGTAACAATGGGTCCGCCAGCTGTTCTAAGTCAAAATGTCCAAGACATGTGTTTGTGAGATGAGATGATTTTGCTTGGGGCGGCGCGCTCATTGAGTTGGTGAAACCCGCACTCTAAAACCTACGATGGATGCCTGCCATCTACGTGCAACAGAGACCCAAATTGCGGCCATGTTAGGCAAGTGGGCTGATGTGGACATCCTGTATTGCCGAGCATGGGCTGAACCCTACGGTTCTCCCGACTTTTCGTGGTGAAACCTCAGTATCTCTGAGACCACGCCCTGAATCACTGATGCAGGGCCTTGGTTCGCTCGACTCTCGGCCATGGTCCAAATTGATTCCCGTCACGATGACGTTCCCAAAGTAGGAAAACTGTCCATAAACTTCATTCAGAAACAGCCAGGTTTCGCCTTCCATCTACCATGCCGCTACACATCTCGTGCGAGTTGCTCGGCACTGAAAGACTTTACCCACACAATGCATCCAGCACCGAAATGCCCCAATCGCCGACAAAGCACAAATTTGGCACAACATGAATGTGATGCAGCATATAAAATCATGAGGCACGCATGCGAAAACGACCATGCCCCCCGCTCCAGAATCCCCGCTATCCATTGCTAAAATATCGCTTGTTCCTGGCCTGAAGAAGGCTCGATTCTAGACAAGAACAACTTGAGGGCCAGAAGTGTAATGGTCAACAAATATGCTTGCAAAAAGTCGTGGCAAAACGTTTTCAAAAATCCCTATCTACGGATGAAGCAAATGGGTTAGGCCCAGCCCAGCTCGACTTGCGTTGCATCTTTGGTAGAGTGTCTGTGCATTTGCTTGCTTTGTGCAGACCAGCGCCCACAGGCACCCACATGTTTCATGGCTAGGGTATTCCTATCTGGCTCGGGGCATATGCACTGGTCTCGTGCTCTCTTCACGTTGAAGCGATGCCGCAAAGTGAGCTATATCCCAGACTGGCACGCACGCCTCACCAAGTACACAAAATGCGCGCCTCCTCCCGAGCTACCGAGGCTCCAGTCGTCGCTAGCTGTCCAGGTCCCAGAAGGATCCGGTAGCCGTCGAAGGTCCCAAGCTCTTGCGAATGGACCTGCGGCTCTGCTAATCGCAGGAAAAAAACAGGTGCGACAAGCGCGGCATCCTCTTTGCAAGCGTCTAAGCTTTTGTTGGCAATTCACTGGGGAGACTGGCTTGGAGTCGGACAGGGGTAAGCCAAGCAAGCGAGCTGGGCAAGGCTTTCACAAAGCACTCGGCAGCTTTAGCTTTCCTTCGGGTTCATCTGTGAAGCAAGTAGAGCCCCATCTCAGCCAAACAACTGCAACTGATCCGCAGCAGACGACATGCAGCTGTCTGGCAGGCATGGGAAAATTGACTCATTTTGGACTACTTGGGGCCATGGCGATGGGTAGCTTCTGTTTAGCTTTATTCAACTTCTGATGCCTTTCCTGTGAAAAGAGCCTGTTTGAAGGACCCCTGATGCAATCGTATGGCAAACAAAATCGGCTGCAGGTGATCCCCAATGCCTATGGCTCCAAAATAGGACACTCCCCAACACCCACTTGATTGCTTAATTTTGAACCCTGGGTGGGTGGATGGGTTGGTGGATATGTGCGATGGATGGTATAGCCGGTATAGCGTGATGGATGTAAGCGAAGTGGGATGTGGGATGTGGGATGTGGCAAAGGGAACAGTGCGAGAACAAGGGGATTCATCCAACGTCTGAGCAGAGGTTTTCACGTAGGTGAGCCAAAAGCATCGGGCAATTACAGTAAACTAAACGTAACTTCAAACCCTCTCTGCCAAACCTCTTCCAAATGAGGTCACAATCAAACCTGGTATTGAGATGGTCTACCCATTTATGGCTGGGACAGTTCCTTACTAACCTTCGTCTACCCGGGTCTTGACTGTGGCTAAAATGCCAAACGGATCACAGGAAAACCTCTCTGGACCCCATACCTGGCCATATTTTTGCCCATGGCGCCTCCGCCGGGCTGGGGGGGGCGGGCCATCTACGCGCTGCGTACTTTGCCGGCTCTGGGATCTACCGGCCCGGACGTGTTCCATTGAGCTGAGGCGGCTCCAACTGGTGGAGCTGTAGTTCCGCCCTGGGCCCAGGTGCTCCTGGCATCTTCGCCAACAACCCTAAAGTTTGGCTCTAGATGGCGCAGGTGCATATGGCAATTGAGATGTTGAAGGAATGAAAGAGCACGTGAAAAGGGGCACTGGGAAGTAAATTGAGAGCTCTTTGGTTGGTTGGGATACTGCACCTTAAGTAAGGGATATGGCACATGCCCCAGGCTCTCCAAGGGTTGGTTGTCATTGAAAAAGCACCAACAGGACTTCATTTTGACCGACCGGATGACGCAACCCATGAGCCCAGGTGACGTCCTGCAGGGCCGCCTCAGCCTTGGCCATGCACTGCAGCAGTAGCCGCTCAGATGCCTTCCTCATGCCGATCTCGAAAGATACTTCGAAGGCTTCCAGGGCTCTGGACAGCGCCGACTGCACCTCACTGAAAACCCACAGAGACAACTCCGGAAGCCGGAATAAGCGTCTTGTCCCTGCGAGGTCTCACCATCGCAGCTTTACTTGCAGAGACTGAATCGAAGAAGTGGTGGGGAGTACCATGAACGACCAAGAAGCGAGCTATGTCAGACTCCCGCATCTGCAACAAAAATGCCCTGCCTCATCACCAGTCATGCCGTTTCGCAGGCGCTCGAACAAGGCGAGAGCACCTAAGCGAGAAAGGCAGACTGACACTACCACAAAGAAGGTAGGATCAGGGAGCATCAAAAAAAAAAAAAAGCCGAGATGCTTGACCCCTCACTGGAGCGGATGCTTTTGCGAGGTGCTCTGGAAGGATCCTTTGAAGCCACCTGCCGTGGTCTGGCCGTCCCACTGCCCGGTCCAGTTGGCTCGTGCACGTCCATATCGCCCACAGTAAACAGATCACCTGTCACGTCACTTGGCGTCTCATTCTTCTCGCGCTCGTGCGGCGTGGAGATTGGGGAAGCGGCGGGCGGATCTGGTTTTGGCTGTCGCTCTGCAGCGAAAGACAGATACCTCAAGGTGCCAGCGATCGAACAAAGGCCACTCAAAATCAGACAGTGCAAGTACGTGCAAGTTAATTATCCACGAAATCGGGGCTTGTGCTTGGTAGATCGCTTGAGTTTCATGTGCACGGTCGAAATGCAAAAACACAATACATCGAAAACAGTACGTGAAGTCTGCAAAGGCTCGGAGACACAGCCGGCTGCTCGATACCCAGCTCGCATCCAGGCTCATTGACATCTTGCTGAATTGTGTCTTCCTCTGTCTCTGGCAAAGTCTGCAGAATTGGATTTCCGTCATCCACATCGCCTTCAGTTCCCATCCCATCTGAGAAGTGTGCCTGCAAAGCGGGTTGCAATGCCCTGGAGTCATATGCGCGTAAACTGAACGGCACGACCCGCCATGCGTACAAAATCACGTAAGACATAGCTAGGCAACAGTTGGGCTATGGCAAAAAGTACATTCTCCACCTGGACCTCTCAGCCGGGTACATCAAAAGGGCAAACCTTGGACCCAGTCGCCTCGGCTGGAGCCAACGTCCCGGCTGCCAGGCTGTCAATTCGCTGGGAAAGCTGCGAAAAGTGGTACTGCTGCAGCTTCAGAAGTTCCTGCAGGCAATTTGTAAGATCAAGCGACACCAGAGCGAAACCAAACGGACAAACGAACAACCACGCAAACAAGCAAGCAAGCAAGCAAGCAAGCAAGCAAACAAACAAACAAACAAACAAACAAACAAACACACAAACAAACAGCTACTAACAAGAACAGCCGGCTAGAGCATAGCCAGGTCAGTGCCCAGGGTCGTGCATCAATTGGTACAAGTATGATAGGTCATGAGCATTCGGCCTTGACACTACCCGCAAATATGCAATCGATGACAGCACACAAGGACATGCAGAAGCTCCTCCTGCATGTCCAGCGACTGGAGCATGTTGTGCTTGATGAATCCTGTCTGACACATCAGCGAAACAATCTCCATCCCAACATGCCAGGCACCATCTTCCAGCCCAGTTGCTTGGAGCTGTCTTCGAGTCGCGCACCCATCCTCAGTGCTTGAGCTCCCCCCTGCAGCAAACGGCATTCAAGAAATCAACGCGTCAGGGCAAACAGTCTAGCAACCAATCAGCAAGCTGACGGTCAAAATGGCTGGGGGGAAAACACTCAAGCTCACAACAATTCGAAACTATCAAGTCAGGGCGTACAGATCTCTGAGCTGAACACTTGTATGTCAAGCGTGTCACACCACGAAAACTACATGCAGAGTCGTCAAGGCGCCAAGAATTGCACTCAGAGCTAAGACCTTGCAAAGCACCTTGAAAGTCGACGTCCGCCTAAAGGAGTCAGACGGTGCCCGTTGTTTATCCGCTTCCGAGGCTCGGCTCAGAGGGGCAATGAACTCATGGGCTTCGATGGCCCCTGAGCCGTCGGCGTCGATCATCTCGAAGAGCTGCTGCAAGTCCACCTGTGAGTCACCCCCTTGCCCCTCACTGAAAAACATCAAAACATCACCCCACCCAGAAAACTCACCGGTCACTCTGGAGGCGATGTGAAATCAAAAAGGGGAAAAAAGGAAACGATTCAGGCACTGGCATTGAGGTTGCGAAGCAAAGCCTAATGAGCTGTCATGGGTTCGGCATTGCTTGGAACAGTTCATATCGGTTCATATCAATCCGTTCTATACGCAATGTTTAGAAACTGGAAGATGACTATAGCAAAGAGGCAAATGTCTGTTTGAAGACTTAAAAAAAGTGCGTGAAGAGTGGAGGTTCCGAAATACAATCAACAAGACGGCATTGATTTCTTGAAGCCTTCAGCCACCAACATTTCAGGGCGGACAATGATACAGGTGCTCCACTTCTAGCTTTTCAGAAGCTTTGGAACTTCGAGCGGTCAAAGGTCAAATAGGGAAGGTCCTTGCTTGCACAAATTGTCTAGAAAGCGGCTTGGATGTGGCTTTTGTCCTGTAGGGTGCTCAAAGAGTATTAAAAGGATACTAAAAATAATGAACAGGGGAGAACAGGTGAAATCCCCAGAAAGCGCATCCAAACCGTTTTCTAGAATTCACTCATTCTGAGAACGAGCCTCGTCAATGTCCATGACTCGAAGTCGGCTCTGAAACTCGGGGTCCCTTCCTTAGTCAATTCAACTGCGGCATTGGCCGCCCGCGAAGGCCACTCTCCAGTGAGGATTGGCAAATGGCCCGCCGCGACGTCTAAATAGGCTTCAACCCCTAGAATAACGGCTGACCCAATTTAGATGGGACTCTTTAGGTAAACGATCGTTAAATCAACCCCCATGTTCGGACCCCAGTCCACGTTCGCATGCTGCATTTGCGCCCAGGATCGGGCTCCCTCCAGGAGGTTTTCCAGAGTGAGCTCGCCACTTCCGCTTTCATCCAAGCGGTCGAAGATCTTTTGCAAGTATTTCCTGCACAAAATCTCTCGTTACCTGGACTCGAGGCCTGCCTGACACTGGCTGGATGAGAGAAATGCTTGCACGAGAGCTTGCCTATCTTTCTTCAGATTGTGATCCAGCCTTGGCTAGCAGCAAAGGCAGCTCTTGACCAGGCCTCTGCTCCCTCACAAACACCCACGCAGCACAAAAACCCGCAGACACCCCACACACACACACACACTGTTTGTTGTTGTTGGTTGTGGTGGCGGTGGCGGTGGCGGTGGCGGTGGCGGTGGCGGCGGCGGCGCTGGTCGTGGTATTGAATTTGTTGGTGTTGTTGGTGTTGGTGTTGTTGGTTGTTGTTGGTGTCGGCGTTGGTGCTGGTCTTGGTCTTGGACATGGTGTTTGTGTTGGTGTTCTCGTTGTCGTTGTCGTTGTCGCCGTTGTCGTTATCGTTATCGTGGTCGTGGTCGTGGTCGTGGTCGCTGTCGTTGTCGTTGTCGTTGTCTTTGTCTTTGTCTTTGTCGTTGTCGTTGTCGTTGTCGTTGTCGTCGTCGTGGTGGTCGTCGTGGTCGTCGTGGTCGTGGTCGTGGTCGTGGTCGTTGTCGTTGTCTTTGTCTTTGTCGTCGTTGTCGTTGTCGCTGCCGCTGTCTTTGTCATTGTCTTTGTCTTTGTCGTTGTCGTTGTCCTTGTCCATGTCCTTCTCCTTGTCCTTGTTGTTGTCCTTGTTGTTGTCGTTGTCATCGTG